ATTGCCCACCGCACCTTTGCTCAGATCTGGCTGGATCCATCCATCTGCAGGGCCCTCAGTCAGTGCTGCTCGATGTGCAATCGTACTTTCCACACGCCTGAAATGTTGATGGATCATCAATACCATCTCCATGGGGAACTGATTGGAAAAATTCCACATCTCTTGCAGTATGTGATCACCCACGTCAAAGCACATGGACATGCTCTCCCCTGCACACTTTGTGGTACGGACACCATCACCTACCGTTTGGACGACAGCACCGCATGGGCTCAAGTTCAACACAAGTGTGCAGTTATTCTGAACCTTTGCCTCCTCCTTGCACAGCTTGGACCATATGGCGGGTTCACGAGAGGTGGTGCACCTGTCCGCCGCAGACAAGACATCACAACTCCAGGCAGCATTCTTAAATATGCTCGTACCACAAGACCCAGCAGAGGACACCCGGAGACCCAAGAGACAGAAGCACAAAGGGGGCACGAAGGAGGAAACCGTGTCCCAAGACCATCCTCGAGAGCAGAACGTGAACCGACTCTGCCATCTGATGGCCCGCATCCTCATCCGACACGAGGACTCGATCCAATCGATCCACACCCAGGACAGCTTCCTGCTCTACTTCAACAAAGGGAATCAGGGCATCGTCCCGACACTTCTCCAGGCCGGGAAGGACTGGAAGGAGGAAAGTGCTCCAATGAAGCCTCTTCGAGCATGTCTGATGCAGACAGTCATGGAGCAAATGATGATGCGATATACCAGTTTCTGCAACAAACTATCGGACGAGAGCTTCCTCAAAGCGAGTCAGGACTCCTTCCTATGTTGCCGAACGGGATGCTTCCCTACTTGATGTGGGATCGAGATCAGGAGAAGCTTGTGCCCTCGACCACGATGTCTCCACTGAGTCGCACAGACTTGGAGACAAAGCTCCAGGCCCTCCAGAGTGCGATGTCCCAACAGGAGAACATCGTTCGGTTCAACTCCATGGCCAGTCAGAACTCCCGGGGCGAAACTTTTCCATGGAGACTTCAAGTGCCTCTGCGGAACGATCCGCTCATGGTTCTGCTCAGATCCTTGTGCCATCACAGCTCATGGCTGCTGATCGCTGGTCGGCTCAAGCCTCAGAGTTTGCAACGCAGCCGCCTGGTCCAAGACCTGCAAGAAGCCACTATGCCTCGGCATGCACGCTGAACTCCGACATGACCAGTTCTGCCCTGCTGCGGACCATATTGAACACCCGCTTGAGCAATGATAGCAATTGGTGCTACTTGAACTCGAGCCTCATGAGTTTTGTGTGGTCGCTTCTTCATCGAAGAGACTGCGATCCTTGTCAGATGGGGAAAGTTAGCTCCGTGTGCCATGCTTTGCTGCAACAGCCAAGGGGAGAGGCGATTGCACTTGCCACCATGCCTGAGCTGCATACCTTGTTGATGACCACCAGTGACACAGGACCTCGTGACTGTGCCGAATTCACAGCCGAGCTCCTGTCCTGGTGCCAATGTGACTGTGTAGACCTGCACTGGGAACGTCGAGTTTCCGCCACGAATGGGGTGATTTGTGAAGAGTCAGGAGGAAAACATCAGCCTCTTGCACTTGATGGACTGTTTGAGCTTGACCTCACACACCCGACGGTCACCGATCTTTGCCAGATGTGGACATACGGCCATGGCATGCGCGCCGCATTTACATGTTCAGTTGGCTTGAAGTGTGTTTTCATCGACAGATTGATGCAACCCACTCGGTACTTAGGCCACTTCCAATGTCTGGACATTTTGTCCACCACGGAGCTGCCTTTCTTCTATGACCAAGGTGTGGACCTTCAGTGGTCCGCGTTCCGGATCCAAAGCATTGTGTGTCACACAGGTTCGAGCATCTCAGGCCATTTTCAGGCCATCCTGCGAAGCGATGACGGATGGTATGTCTGCCAGGACCATGAAACCCCATCCTTCTTTTTGCACCCTCCCCAATGGTGCCTCGAGAGGGCTGTGCTGGCCTGGTTGATCCCGATCACTGAGGCCCATTCGAATAGCATGTCCCAGGACTCGCCTTCCGACTTGGAACCAGAGACAAGTGCACCCATGCTGCAGGTCACCGCCAGTCAGCCGACCTCGTCTGTGACCACTGAGGACACTCAGGAACCACCAATGCCACTGGACGGTGCACCAGCTCTGAGCCGGGTCCTTCAAAGTGTCTTGGCGAGTGTCCTTGATGACACCACGGAGCGGCACCTGAGCTGATGCTGCTGGTAGCCTCCCTGCTGCTGACGCAGCTGCGCCGCCCAGCTGCTGACCAGCCGCGCCGCGCTGAGCAGCTGCCGCAGCTTCTGAGAGCTTCTGAGAGAGACCCCTTTCTTTTCACTTTCTGTTTTCAGGATTTTTGCACCATAGGTATCCTGAAGACTCATGATATCGATCCTTGATCCCATTGGCAACGAGTCTAATGGTTGATGGCGCGAGACATCACTCTCAGCGTTCGAGAAGAAGAAGAAGAAGTTGTTGTTGTTGTTGTTCAAGAGCAAATAGTTGTTGGAAATCCAATGGAGAAATGGTTGCCAGCCAGTGTCGTTAGCACACAAATTTTTAATCGCTTGGTCAACCCGCAGGTGATCCAATGTGTCCACAAGTACTGAAAACTTGCAGAAGATGAGCCGGTGCAGCACTTGGCAATGGCGTTTTCCCAACTTCAAAAAACATGATGACACAACTTGCAATGTCGCGGAACGTTTGCCGCCTGTGTGGGGCCTTGTTTCACCTACGTGACGTCATGATTTCTTGGTAAGCGGTGCAGTCAGATCGCATGCGCTTGATCTTGATTGTGTGCGCACCCAAAGTGAAACAATATGTTCTTTCGGTTCATCATCCCGGTGCGAATGAAGGCTCGAAAAATGAGACAGTACATCTCGGAACACTTGAGTATGTGTGTTCCAGACATTCTGTCGATCCTAATCAAAGAACTTGCCTTCGCCACAAATTAGAACTTTGGTTGGTTGCAAGATATTTGACAGTGGCTGTGACAAAGGTTTCGGTGATGTGCACATGTTCCAATGCCGATTTTTTGTTTTTCGGAAAAATACTTCGCATCTCATTGGGACCCTTTGTGGTTTCCTTTGGAGTTGTGATGTCACCGATTGCTCTTAATTTCCTTTTGAACTGAGGGAAATCTCTTGAAACTGTGGATGTTCCGCATTATTGTCATGCAATGACATCCATTTGTTTTTGTGCAAACGTTTTCTCAAGGGCATTATATCGCAAGGCATGCTGATTTCCAGCAATGGTCACAAATGCACAAACCTTGATTTTTTTGTTTTGGATTTGCAATAGATGCGAGCTTACTTGCAAACAACGTTTTCACAATTTTTGACGTTCGTCTTGTAATGAATGGCAGCCGGAATGGAAGCCGGGGTCGACCATTGGGGCATTCGAAAGGCCACGACCTGTGCAAGCAGGTTGTGTTTTACAATTGAGAGATGCCACATATGGTGAAGACTATTTGCCAGAAACATCGCTGTGCTCCAAGGCAGTTGATTGTGATGAATCACCCTTGGCAGGCTGCATGGCAGCTCGAAGATGTCCTGCACGATGTCAACATTGATGTCTACCCAGACAAGTGTGGTTCCTCAAATGGTTGGTCATGAGCAACGCCGATCATCAAAACATATATGAGAGCACTTTATCATTTTGAAAAACAATGACATACGTTTGATCACTGCAATTTGATTGTCTCATTTCAATCAAAGCTTCTACCATTATGTCGTGTTTAAGAGACATGTGCTTCAGGCCTGAAGCAAGGGAAGCTCAGTTTGAATTTGCCGGGAACTTAACCAATTCTTTTTTGTGGCCTCTGGCCATCCAAACCAGCGAAAGATTGTTGAACTTGAAACTTCATAATTCTTTGGCATTTCGATGCAGAGCACCGAACTGTATCCCTTGTCGAATCAATTTCCCGAGGTTTGGGCAGAAGCATCTTGGATCAAAATACTGCATTTCTTGATACAAGTGCAACTGTTTGGACGAGGGAAGATGATCTATTGCAGAAAACGTTATGCACATTGTTTGCCTCTGCTTGCGACACCAAGATGTGGCAAATTGGGCACTAGGGCCTGCTGAAGGATACGTTCACTACAACAATACCCATTCCACCCGGCCATACATGCTGTCCTTCTTTCTTGTAGGAATTGACAAATTGCACTGATTTTGGATTGGTTCCATTTGTCTTTATCGCCTCTGCAGTGTCAAACACAGAAGAATACTTTTGTCGGGAGTGCAGTTCGTCTCCTCCCCAACAATTTGTGGAGGGGTTTGCACCTGCCCGAGATGTGCAACTGAACAACCAAGCATTATTTTTTACGTGGGTCAGGACTATCCTCTATCCGACAGAAGTTCTCGAAAGTTGGTTTTTGGGAGACAGGAAGCTGCGAATCCCCTGACAGTGCTTGGAGTTTCTGAAGCGTGTCTCGCTTGGCCTTGGTCCAGCAGAGATTCGGAGTCCACTTGTGAGGTGGGCTACAAAAGAGCTCTTCTGGCTCTTGTGTTGCTCACTGTCCTGGAAACGCCAACATGGTGCGTCCTCCACTTGACTGCCTGGTGTCGCTTGTGTCGAACCGTCCCAACACTGAGATCATTGAGTTTTGTTAGTTGTGCACTTGCCGCCTGGCTTTGGCTTGCAGTTTGGATGCTATGATTCCTTTTTGGCTTTCATTGCAATTAATTGACTATATTGAGGAAGCGAACTCAGCCGCTGCAACCAGATAGATCAGCAAGCAGCTCTCTACAAACCAGGATATCGTAACATGTTTCCGACGTCCTTTTTCATGGTTGGAACCTCAGAGCAGCTTTCTCTGGCTACTAGGAGCAAGGACGCTACGAGGGGCTCCTGGCATCGCTACTACGAACAAGAAGCTACTAGGAGCAAAGGGCATCCCTACTAGGAGCAAGGACGCTACTAGGGGCAAAGGGCATCGCTACCAGTTTGGCTCCTCTTTTAGCATTGCTGTGTTCAGGTTCGCCCACATGCTACAAGACTCTGATCAATTGTGTGACTCTGAGTTGAGACAACAAATAGACCAACACCTTTGATCTCCTCTTGTAGCCCAGAAGAAGGTGTTCAAGTAGTGTTCTTCTTGCAAGACGAATTGTTGTGCTGGAGTATTTCTTTCCATCTCTGGGAAGGTCAGGATCAGAAGAAGTGCAAGAAGCGCCAAGATCAAGATCCCCCGCACTGAGCTGAGGTAATCTACCACTTTCAGGTTTGGAGCCTTGGAACCCTTGCAAACTAAGAAAAGACTAGGAACAAGAAGCTACTAGGAGCAAAGGGCATCGCTACTAGGAGCAAGGACGCTACTAGGGGCTCCTGGCATCGCTACTAGGAACAAGGACTCTACTAGGAGCAACTGTATGGGGTGTTTGGCCCTTTCTTGCTCGAAAAGCACCTTGCTAACCCGAACCTTCCCCACTCCGCACGGGCGACACCGTGGGCTCAGCAAGGCTGGTGTGCGGCAAAGACTTCTGCAGGCCTCGCGAAGCAACTCCACTGTCTGGGACCCATGT